TTTTGCTAATCTCAAGATTTCTAATATTTAGCTATATACTAGCATATTATGAAATATGATATGTTTTGGATTGTATATTGCTAAATTTTTAGCAATATGTTTTATATTACTAAGTTTTGTAATAAAGTTTTAAAAACTTAGTCTAACACTTTATAGTTTACATATATTTTTAATTTCTATTTCCTATTTTTCTAATATATAATATAATATTTGTATTATAATTATTATCTATTAGTCTATATTCTAGTAAATTGGATTAGATTCTTTTTTTTTAATTACTTAGTATCTAGAATTAAAATTTTTGTTAGTACTATATTACTGGTTCTATAGTAATGCTTGCTGTTTCCTAATTAGATATAAGTTTTGTTTGTTTGTTGTTGTTTGTTGTTGCTATAGTTATTAAATATTCTGTTTTATATTTTTTTAAGATAATATCAATTTCTCAAAAACTTCTACTTTTTTTGTTAAAAAATATTGTTGTTTTATATTAATATCTTAGCAAACTATATATATTTTCTTATAGCACAGCTTTTTTGTTAGTTATCTAAAAGATACTTGTTAGTTTGTTTAATAATTATTCTTGTATTTTGTTTTTTTTTGTTTTGAAATCAAGAATTAGTAAAAAAAGTTGTTAAAAGTTTTACCAAATATGCATGACTATATTTATTGGTGAATTAAAGATTTTGAGCTTTGAATACTTCAAAAGTAATTTATAATATGATACTTCTAAAAAGATATATGATATATACTATTTATTATTATTTCTGCTTTAAAATACAAATTACTATATTTTATTAGTTTTTGTTATAAATATTGTCTTGAAATTGTTTGTTTTTAGTATTAAGATGATCTCTTTTGGTTTTAACTTTTTATTAATATTTATATTGGACATATATACATATAGACATATCTATATTGAACTATCAGATGAGTGTACAACTGGCTATATATATAACTTATCTATATTATCTATTTAAGAAGTTTACATAAAGGTTTCTTGCCAGTTGTTATATCTAACACCTCTGCTTAGATGTTCTATTTAAACTCTCTGATCTGGTCTTGATATTAACTTTACTAGGTTACAGACTTAGATTCTTTTGCTATCAACTATTAGGACTATAATTCTTAGACTATTTTTATTCTTAAAATTTATCAAAGTAAGCTATATTTCTTTTTATTGCTAATCTGGTTTAATGCTATAACTGAGACCAACACTTGCAGTCAGTATTATCTATTAAACTACTATTATTCTTATAAAGTTATCCAAACTCTGGCATCTATCTTTCTAATATTTTCTCTATTATCTCTTACTAGCTGTAATTTAGAACTAACAGACTTTCCAGACTTTCAATCCAAATAGCCTAATATAATATACTTATATATCCTTTTCTTTTAGTAATTTTAGTAGCCTGGTTGGTGCATATGTTTTTCTTATATATCTGTTGTTTAGTTTATCTAACAATTTCTATGAAAGTGTTTCATAGGCTTCTATCAATTTAATAATATTATCAAAAGTTTGTGCTATCTCTTTACTTAGGATTTTCAAATAGGTTTTTATCTTTTTAGTTTCTTAGCCTTTTATGCTCAGTGTTTATATTATAGGTTTGCACTGAAGCCTTATATGACACTGGCTTTTTATATTTCTTTATGTATATATATATAATATTACACTTTGTATAGATGCTCTGAGCTTTCAATATTAAATAAGGTTTAACTTAATATACCTAAGATTGTAGATGCCCAAAATCTAACTAATTAGCAAAAGACAATTATCATAATATAGATATAATTTCTAAAATTCATCATTTGTAAGAATTGAACATTAGATCTGTTACTTGGAAGTTGACAACCTATTCACTTTATTAGGTCACTACATTCTAGTATTTTGAAATTGTTAAGTTATAATTTTTATATATTTTTTTTAAATTTTTTTTTATAATTAAAATTTCTGTTTTTGAAGAATAATTTTTATTCAAGTTTATAAAACATAGATGCCTTCAAACACTTTCTTATATTGAAGGTTACAATTAGCTATATATATATTTTTGTGCCTAATTTAAGTAGTCTGCTTATATATTATTATATAAATTTTGTACTAAATATTATATCTGCAAATCAGTTAGAGGTCTTGACTAATTAAACTCTCTATATATACAATTTATTTTGTATTATGAGAACAACTTCAGAGCATTATTTATTCAAGTTTTTAATCCTTGTTAGTATCCTTAGAACTAGTTTATTCTTGACAAAAAACTTACTAGAGCCTTTATATTTTATATATACTAATCTAGTATTATGTAATATATTATAGTTACTTAACACTTGTAGTCACAAGAATTACCTATTTAACAACTATATTGCACTATTTCTACTCTTATAAAGTTTACTAAAATCTTAATACTTCTCTTTTTAACTTTTGTTCCTTAATCTGAACCTACAAGACTGCTCAAACTGCCAATTCAGATGACTCAGTAGAGGTTTGCATTTGATCTTGCAACCTGGTCTGGCTCAGCTTGATTTACAAATTTTTGCAAACTAGGCTGATCTAAAGCAAAATTTTATAATTGTAAGCCAGACTAGGCTAAAAATTTTACAAAATTATATAAGAAATTTTGTAGATCAGACTAGCAAAAAAATTTTAATCCTAAATATAAACTGGGCTGAGTTTCAAAAATAGATAGTTTGTAAGCTCCTATGGCTTGGTATGGTATCTTAAGATTCTTTTTTTCTAGTAATTTTTAGCAGCCTGATTGGTATATGCTTCTCTATATATATTGTCATTTAATTTATCTTAGCTGTTTCTTCTAAGAAATCTATAAACTTTACAAACTATCAATTCAGATAGCTTAGTATAGAACTTTAAGATTTTTTTTCTTTGATAATTCTTGACAACCTAATTGGTATATGCTTTTTTATATATAGGATTAAGTTAATAGAAATCAAGCAAATTTTTTTTAAATAAATTTTTTTGAAACTTTAAATAATAGTAACTTAACTAAAACTTTATCAAATTTTATAAAATTTTTTTAAAATAAATATTACATATTTGTAAAATTTATTTAAAAAATTTTTTATTAAATTTGATTAAGTTTTATTAAATTATTATTGTTTAAAGTTTCAAAAAAATTTCAATAAAAACAATTTGTTTGATTTCTATTAACTCACCCTTATATATTGTTGTTCGATTTATTTTAACTGTTTTTTTTGAAATTTTTATTGGTTTAGTAATATCATTAAAAATCTATACTACTTTTTAGTTAGGATTTCCAACTGAGTTTCTGTACTTTAGTTTCTTGATGTTTATGTCTAGTAATCTTATTATGAGTTTGCATCAAAGTCTTATATAATACTAGTTATTTAACATTTCTCTATATATATAATATTATATTTTATATAAATGCTTCAAGCTTTTATTCAAAATAGTACCTCTAAGATTACAGATTATTTCTTCAATTCAACTGATTGACAAGACACTTTTCTATAATACAGATTAATTTTCAAATTTTATCATAGTTAAGATTTAAACCTTAGACCTGTTACTTGAAAAATAACAATCTAATCACTACATCAGAATTATTATTTTTATTATAATCTTTATATGTATTATAATTAAACAATTTCTATTATTTATATTCAAATAAAAAAAATCTTTAAATTAACAATATACTATATACAATATTCTTTAAAAAAATAAAAATAAAAAAATAAAAATAAAAAAATAAAAATAAAAAAATAAAAATAAAAAAATAAAAATAAAAAAATATTAATTAAAGATCTAATTCTAAAAAAATATAAAAATAATTAACATAACTTAAAAATACAAAATTAAAATAATAGTTTGCAAATACAATAATAAAAACAACTTAAGATAGTTTTTACAAACAAGTTTAAAGAATACAATATAAAAAAAACAAAATAAATAAAAAAAAGAAAGAAAAAAATACAAAAAAAAAAGAACAAAAAAAACAAATTAGTAAAAAATAAAAAAAAATTAAAAAAAAAATGTTAGAACTTAACATAAAAAAGAAAACACCTTTTTATTATAAACTTTAAGTAATTAAACAAGCAACCTACTTTTGTTTAAGTAATGTGACAGATTGCACTTAGATATTATTAGAATCTCGATAATGCTAGACTTAGTTGTTAAATATCTTTATAATTGTAAAAATAGTTTCAAAAATCTTAATAAAATACTAATGTGATTGCTTAAGAGAAAAAAAAATTTATAAACAACATTTTAATCTTTTATAAAAAGAAATATTCTATGACTAATAACTATTCAACCATTATTTATAAATTATTATTGTTGATTGTTGATATTATTATTTTTAAAACAATAACCTAATCGACGTCGATCAAAGTAACCGATTTGATTGGACCCCAATGACTAAAATTAACCCTGAAATTAGATCCATTGTGATACATTAAACACCTATAACAATTCCAACGTCGAAAAATACACAGGCATCCTAGAAAAATCACTTCGAAAGAGATAAAAACACTTGTGAGGTGGCCTCCCTTTACAAAAACTTTTCTGAAGTGCCTAAGTTCCTTACATAACGATCTTAAAAACATTCGTGTGTCGTTTCAAAAAAAACAGCTAAAATTTTTGTGTGGAATACATTCAGTAAAGAATGTAAAATAGGGATTTGAAGAAATTAGTTCCTGAGAATAAGAATTGGCCATCATACAACCACGATTTAAATCAACCGAAAATTTGTAGCAAATTATTAATACTGATGTAGAAAAACGATGGCCAAAAAAATCTTGATAAATTAGAGTTACTGTATTTGGTGATTGAATCCCTCACAGTTATAGATAATTTAATTGCATTAATGAAAAATAGATCCCATCTTTTAATCGATAGTATTGGGGAGCGCATCCCCTACTGATTTTTTTATTATATAATTTTGATGTATTGAGTTTTAAATAAAAAAAAATCCCATGGGATTTGCTGCAGTCGTAACCTGAAAAACTATATGAATTTGTCTCGTGGTTTCTTAACATTTCGACTTTTCTTCGGGTAATGGAAGTGGGAGCACGAAGTTACGTACATCGACTTCTGAATCTCCAGTAAGTTTATTTATTAAGGAAATTATTTGAGGAGGACGAGTTGTCGGATTTTGATAATATTGCTCTGAAGTCAAAAATATAAACAGATTCAGTATGAAATTACTAAATTATGTTTTAATATTTTAATGATCAACAAGACATATTTAATACTTACCTAGCTGGCAAAGTTCTCCGACAAGTCTTCCTAATGCAATTCTGACATTTACTACATTATCTATCGAAAGTTTTTCCAAACCATTTAAAAAATATTTTTCAAAATCAGCCTTTGAATATCCAGTGGAAATGAGTGCATTACATATTTGTACATAACTGAATAAAAAAAGAAAGCTTAAGATCATTCTTGCAAATATAATATCTGTAGCAACATGAAAAATATTATCTTACATCACTCTTCCTCGAAATCCGGCATCGGAAACAAAATCACACACACAATTTATCATGTCACGAAGACATGATTCGTCATTTCGCACAACTTCAAAAAGAACCGGAAACTAAAAGACAAATTTTCTATTTAGAGTAATAATAATAACGACAAAGATATTTATAAAGTTCTCGATTACTCACACTGGCAACTGCAGTTTCTCTAACACTAGCTACTTCATCTTTAATTGCGCGTATTGTCAACGGTAATATATGACTTATTACGCATTGTCCATCCACTAGTCGACATAATTCAGGTATTTGTCTGAACAGATTATAAATGAGATTATATATATAAAATAAATTATAAGAAATCAAAAGATGTATTTGATGTTAGCAATACTTTGTGATCTCATCTCTTAATCGCCAATGATTTTTAACGCCATCCCAAACATCATTCAGCGATGGCAAATAATTGTTACGAGTAGACTGTGGCAAACATTCAATAAACTCTGCAAGATGTTCTATAAGCCCAGACTTAACCTCGTCAATGTCATCCAAATAATAAGTAAAAACATTAAGCAAGTCATTCTCCGTTTTCGTTGGGCCAATGACTTTTGCTATCTCGTGAAGCGAACAAGCCAATGATCTTCGTACTTTAATCTTGAAAATATATCACGTTTAAGTTCAGTGTTATAAGTAAAAATTTTATAGTTAAACAAAAGAAAATTTTTAACCTGCATATCTCGAGTCAAGGGGATATATGTATCTTTCAAATTATCCCAACTACTTTCCCCCAATGTCAGAACAACAGCTAATATTTCAAATATTAATAAATTAAATCATCAGGATTTCACAACAAAGAAATCTATATGATTTTAATAATCTCACCGGGAAAATTAAATGCACATATAACTGGACGTTCCGGATCTCTCTGCCCAAGATTATTGCTATATGTACTACTAATAACACCATTACTAAGACTGCTTTCCCTAACCGGTCCAAGGCTTAAAAAATGTTGTACTAAACTTTCAGGAACTTTATCATCAGGTTGAAAAGTAGCAATCAATTCCCCAATAATTTCACCGGCTGCAGAACGTACGCTACGACTAACATCACCAGCAAATATTTCAATTCCTTTTACAGCTCGGTCCGATTTCATTTCTCCAGGAAGCTTTGAGCATAATGTTGGTAAAACTAAGCAACAAGAGCGACGTACGTGCCATATAGGGTCGATTGAGAAATGGTCGTATATAGGTAACTTTTGATATCATTGTTTTCTCAATATCATCAATTTTGTAATGCTTCCAACAAAGCATGAAAGAAATGGTTTGTTATTTACCAATTTTGAAGTTATTATATCCAAAGGTAATACACTAGCTAAATTTCCAATTGCTAAGGCCGCTTCCTAGAACAAGTAGGTAACTTCAATTATAAATAATGACCTAATAAAAAATAAAATAATATCAGATAACCAACCTTCCGTACATAGAACACTGGCTCTTCCATCATTTTGTCTAATTCAGGTACAAACAAGCGGATACATCTTTCTGGGCCAACGATCGGCGCTAAAGATGATATTAACTACAAATATAAAATTATTACAGACCAAATATTAGGAAACAGGAAGTTTGAATGAAACTCAGCAACTTACCGACATCATTGTCATTCGGCCTAGCTCAACTTCTTCTTCAATACCAGTGACAGCACCAACACTTGTATCGTCACCTTCAGTCTCCCATTCATTTAATTCCTCTCTCTTTACCTTCTCTTGATCAAGACGGCCTATTCCTAAAACAACACCCTCTAGAGTTTCTTTTTCTAGCAATTCTTTTTCTTTGGGATTAACATCTGGTTCCTCCAGTATTCTCTCAACTAGAGATTGTATAACATTTTGAGCTGCTTGTGCAATACCAGTGTTTTGATCAAGGAGCAATGCATGAAGCAAAGGAGTAAAGGCAGCTGGTGATAGATATGGCAAATGGTTAGTCGGAGTTGGTGGTTGTGATGGCAATGATTGTTGTATTGGTGTCTGTGGTCTCTGGGGTGTTTGAGGTCTTTGGGGTGTTTGCGGTCTTTGTGGAGTCAAAGGCCTTGATGCTGAAGCATTATCATTCTGAATATTATCTGATGTAATTTCTGTCGTAATTTCTCTTAGTGGACAATTCTGAATCAAATGATATAATTCCCATAAAAATTGAACAGTGAAAAAAAAAAAAACTTTATTTGAATATGAGAAATTTAAAACTTATGTTTTAACTTACTGAATAATAAAACCATATAATTTTATCTAGTTCAGGAACGAATGCTTCGCGGACATGATCCTCTAGACGCAATAACATGAGTTACCGATTGATATATTAAATAAAAGTGATGATAAAATGATTTAAAAAAAAAAACTAACCAGGGTCTGTTCCTAATGAATTCATCAAAGGCAGTACATATTCAACAGCCTCGCTTATTTCCACATCTTTTATCAGTGACGGCAGTTCCTTTGCAATGAACACTCTCATAAGAAAAAAATATAAAGTTAATTACATACCGATATATTGATATGTTAGTATGAATTTTGAATGATAAAAATATATATTATTATTTAATAATAATCCAATAATGCCTACCTATGGAATACTAAATCGCTCTTCACGTATAGGAATATCTTCTCAAGTGGCGATAATGTATCATCTAACAAAAGTTCTTCATCCTCTATCTCTTCGGGTGGAATTTCTGAAAATTGATCTAATGGAAAAAAATTAAACCATGATTGATACTTATGTCACAGCTTTTTTTGTTATGGACTGCGAAGGATCGCCCGAGAAGTTATCACCAATTGAAATGTCATATCGTCTATTTAAGCCGATGACAATAATTTGTGGGTTTCCTAATACTTAATTCCAGGCTGCAAGATAAACTGTTTAACAACGTGAAAGAAAAGAGTTGCGTATACATACCAGAAGAATTCTCAGCCATCGCAGCCAGTAGCTCCTCGGTGTCTAAGTCACCGCCATCCTCGAGATCCTCCTCCCTTTCCTGAAGGGTTTGGTCTGAATTTTCTAAGCTGAAGTCTAAAGCGAGCACAACATATTTTGATGTTATCCTAAAAGTTAAGCAGAAAATAATATAAAATAGATTTAAGTTTCTTACCCGACATGACACGAAATAAACGTTTAGATAGAAATCGTTGGCCCGTTCTCGAAAAAGTACGAGTTTTAATTCTTAAAAAGTCCAGAAGAACAAGTGAATGTCTAGTGATTTAACAATTTTGGAAAAAGTGTGACATTCAATTCTAAAGTAGTTCCAAAGTAGATTAATTTCTGTTTCACACTCCTCACGCCGTCACGCTACTAATTCGTAAATTATAACGGTATTAATCACAGTGTGTAAAAATTAATTGTATAGTTTTCGAGTTACCCTCAAAATAATAATATCATGCGACAATGAAATGATGCATTGTTATCCAGCCACAAAGCGAACAATTATAAAATGAACAAACACGATTATATGTCAGTGATACTATGATTTTCATTTTTATCTTTGGAAGACTTTACATTTATCTGATTTTTAGCACCAACTATTCCCAAACCTACACCCCACTCATTTTTCTGCCTTAAACCACTACGAAGTCGCCACATCAATCCACCAAGCCCACCAAACCCTTGGTATAGTACTGCTTTACGACTTGGAGCAGGTACTATATGTTTTACATGATGTTCAGTTACCAATCCATTTTTAGAACCAAATTTATAAACAAAAATACCAGAGAAAGATGAACGTGGAATTTGAGTGCTACGCGAAGATAACATTGAGGTAATATAATAAGACCTGGGGGTTCCTTCAAGTTCCCAACGAACATAAAGTCGAATATTTCTATCGTAAGATTGTATATCAGAAGTGGAAAAGGATAATAATGGTATTGGATGAGCGTCACAAGTAGTGTCTTTGAATAAAATGTCTTTTCCGGATCCATTTTTATCATCCGTACTATTATCTGCTACATGAATCTTTACTATTTCTAGCGTCAAATCGTCAAAATACCAAATTAAACTCCACCTTAATAAATTAGCAATTCCAAAATATACGTGCTTTCCGCGTACATATAGACCCGTATGATAAGGATCAGATAGAAGAATATTTTGAGAATATATTGATGTATCAGTAAGACCACGTTCGAAAAATGTTGGAAGATCCGATCGTATCGTACGTATTGCTACAAATTTAATAATTGAAATTTTATTAATTTTGTTCCTATATTAAGTTGACAGTAATAATCGAGGCGTACCTTTGCCAACGTTTAAAGTATAGTCGTCGGGCGGCGAAACCTTTTCTGTGTAATGACGAAAGACGAAATTCTGACGAGATCTCAAATCCCTCTGATGAAAGACGAAACTTAAAATCGGAAATGACAAAGGGCGAAACCTGGTGAAACCTTCACGAAAGTTAAAATCAGATGAAACTTAAAAGATCAAACGAAAGACTGAGCTATAATTAATAAGCTATTTCCATAATATCAAAATGAGTCCTTACCTTTCATAGATTTCTTCACACAATTTATTGTTTTATTATTATTATTATTGCTTTAGATGCTTGATTGTATTGAAAAGTCTAATTTTCCAAGACGAAAAAATGTCTTCAGATTATTGAGTTGAGCTCTATACCTATTCAAAAAACGTTAAATAGCATTAAAGATTACGAACGACCGATACATTTAGTAACTCGGCGAATGAAAAAGACAATCGCGTGGATTTTAGTCAATCATATTTCAAGATCATGTGTAACATAAAAATCAAAACAAAAAAAAAACTGGTCAATTTTTTCATAGAGCTGCTCTCATTGGCTAAAATTTAAATTTCGATCACTAGCTAACCTAGCTAACCACATTGAGGGTGCTGCTTGAGAATATTCTAAGCCAGTCGTATTCATAATCTTGCTACCTTATAACTGGAGCTCGCCCCGGCCCCTGTTGTTTGGAGCGAAGTGACAAACTTATACTTCTACGCCCTTTGATAAACAAAAATTCGTTTTTGATGCATTTATATTAAAAATATTATAAAGTAGTTTTGGTATTTTTCAGATGTCACACTACGTTTTTATATAGTAAAGTTAAATTTTACTAAATAAATCGATTATACATATGCTATTAGGGTGGAACATCAGCTAAGTAATCAAAACTATGTTAGATAATTATAGCATTTTTTATTACAGATTTTTTACGTTACACAAACAGCCACCAAATCCGAATTGTATATTTAATACTGTAATTACAATAAGAACATAATACAGTAATAACTTACAGTAACAACATAATACAGTAACAACATAATATGTTAATAACATAACAATAATTTAATAAATAAAATTTAAAATATTATTTTTTGTCAAATAGATTTTTAAATAAAATGTTTGCTCTTTTTTTACATTCATCATTGTTGAAATTTTTTTGGTCTAAATCTTAGTTATATATAGATTTTAGTTGCTGTTGACATTTTTCTGTTCTTAGTTTCATCAGATCTATGGAGTTACAACCAATTTCTTTAAGTAGTACATTCAACAATCATAACTTTGATTGCTGAAGACTATTTGTCATATTAGGATGAGTTTTGAGATCTTATTTATTGAAAAGACCTTCTACCTGTTGTTGGTAGACCACAATATATCAGATTTGGTACTTGACAAATTCAAATAATTTAGGAAACTGGTCTAAAGATTTGTGTGATTCTTGAATGAATTGGTAAAATTTACAATTAAACATTGGATCTTTTAATGCATTGAATAAACTGAAGTCATTAAAATTATCACTTTCAATATCAAACTTAATAAATTTCATATAACATAGTTCTTGTAATAAAGGTACTAATATCCAAGGTATTTTTAAAATAATATAAGCGTAGCTTTGTGCAAACTCCTGTTTATATTTTTCATCTAGATGACAAATACTTAATAGCAAATGTAACCAATAATTTAACCATTTTTGGTAAAGTTCTAATGTCTTTTGAGTTCCACATTTAATGTCTAAAGTAAGTTTATTAAGTTAATAATTATCTAGTATATAGATGCTTTCTAATAGTTCTTCTTCAAAAAATAAATAAGGATTCTCAATAATATTTTAAAGTTTTATTATTGTATATACTACAAACTTTGACATTTAATATACATGCTTTTTAGGAAGGAGATTTGTTTATTTAGAAGTTTGGTCATTTAAATATAATTCAGTATCATATTCTGTTAAAAATTTAGCCATTGAATAATAAAAGTCCTTTTCAAATTGAAATAAAAATTTAATTTGTATATTTAAAATTGGGTTATAAAGTCACTTTTGCAGTAATTCTTATTTTTTAATATATAATTTCGGGGCATTAGTTTAGGCTTTAAGTTGAGACAAAAACTACTTTGTAAACTTTATATAAAGATTCCTATATTCAATATATTGTTCTGCACATAATAATTCATAAAGCCATCTTCAGGGTGTGGTGACTTAGTGAAGTAGATAAGTTGTCAATCCTCCAAGTGGTAGTTTAAGAGTTCAAAACCTAGTGATGGTGAAAATTTGGAAAACCACCTATGTTACATTGGTGTATACAGGTATCTGTACAATGTTGGAGTTATACAGAGGAATGCAAACCAGCATTGGGTAGTACAAACACAAGATAAGTTCTTAAAACTGGTACTACAGCGATGGCTATCTATCGATCAGTTGGGATCAGACCTGTAATATGGTCATACCAGATAACTAGCAGGTCATAGGGCATCTGTGATCATGTAAATCCATGAACTGGGATAACTGAAAGCCTACTTGAGAAGACCTGAGTAGAGAGGTAACATGGATCTTCAACAGTACTACTGTAAAGATTAGACCTAGGAAACGGATACCAATGTGGAAGAAATTAGATGGGCAAGAAGCTTGGGTGAGGGGTACTACCAACCAGGCTGCTGGAAGACTCGAACTGGAGAAAAAGAACCTTGGGGGGCAGACCCTGAGGTACCAGGGACAGGTTACAGTCCTACTAGGCTATCTGGATTGGAAGTCTGAGGTCAGAAACAGAGGTATACTAAAGTACTAGAGATATGCTGTGAAGTCAGTGCTGGGGTCTGGGTAAACTCTGCAAAGGCGAGCCCTGTTAACAAGATACTAAACGTGGGTAGTTAGTTAGCAGGGGGGCCTCCTGGAGCCCTACAGTCAGGTGATGTACTCTGAAATGTGTAACAGTTTGACGAATGTACAGACAGGAAGGTCATGGTTAGGTCAGACAGCACTTAAGTGTACGGGAACTTGTGTGCTATTTGTCGATGTAAGTATAGGGATCAGAGTATTTAAAATAGGTAATCTTCTAGTAGATTGCAGGTATGGCAGCTGGTGTAGAACCTGCTATGCAGGCGAACTACTTAAATTAGACAACCAAAAGTTGTATATGTGGCTAGTTGTATACTTACCTTGTACAAGTTATGTAATCATAAATAAAATACAATAAAGGCAATAGCTGTCGATAACTATGGCCTTAGCAAAAGCAAAAAAAAAAATAAATAAATAAAAAAATTCATAAAGCTATCTTGATTGAATGGCTGTTAATATTTTGTCATATGATATTGAAATCATTTTTTATATAGTTTATAAATATAGTCAGAACAAACACCCATTAGTTTGTCTTTATCAGATTTGTTATAACCACCATGAAGATCTCATACTAAATATAAAAGATTTAAGAATGCTCTTTTTGTGAAAATCCACTAATATTAGGCAACTTCCCAAATGCTATTTTCTCAAAGTTATTCATAATAATATGCACCATATGAAGTTTACATAGTATTCGAGTTATATTAGCTTTACTCATTTGGTTGAATAAGGTAATTGCACCATCAGATTTTCTACTCATATAATTTGTATTATCTAAAACATATACCAAACATTAATAGAAATTAATTTTAAAATAATTAAAGATATCATATATTGCCTGAGTTACAAATTTTTCTGTACAACTTGTCAAATCTTTCATTTCTAACAGTTGGAAATCAGGTTAATTTGTTTTTGAATTTCAAAATATAATGCATAGTATGAATATTTATTGCTAACTACGCATTGACTTATCCATCATTATTCCAAGAATAAAAAAAGTAGAGCAATTGTTTTTATTTAAAATTTGATTAGTATGAATTTTACTAATTTCTTGGTTCTATCGAACAATTAATATATGTGAAGTTGGTAAAAACAACTTTTCTTTAGTTAAAAAATCTAAGATTAACTGTGTAGCTTGAACAGTATTTCTGAATAACATTTGACCGATTTGTAACACTTGAGTTGTTATGTTTATAAATTGTGTTATATTTTTTTTTTTTTTTTTTTTCCCTTAAGCAGTCATGCTAGTACTTTATTAAGATTTTGAAATTACATTTGCAATTACA